TGTTCACAATAAATGACTGCGCACGGTGTCTTCACTTACTCGCTAGCCTTATCTAACTTAGTAGTATTCGGTCACCCTGGCTACAAATTCAAAATATCTAGGGACGTCTCATACTACGACTATTCCTCACCCAACACTCAGGAGTTTATTACAGCCACGTCATATGCATGTAAATACAGGGTTCCCGCTGATGATAGGGCGATGGCAGGGTGTGTACTCGAGCACTGCCAGGATGGTCTCCTCCACCGATGAAGCCATCCTGATTCAGCAACAGATGGCAAGAAAGACTCCCTAGCTGAGTCCCACTTCACACCCTTTCACACGCCCTATCGCTGCAGAGATCATTGTTGCACTAGGCTCAAGCTAATCCAGAAGTCCCTCTCGTTCAATCGCTGTCTGTTGGGTTGCCGAAATGTTTCACAAACGCCTTCCTCCACGATCTCCTTGTCTTTACATTAGATCAACTTAGAGAGTCGTGGCGACCTTCAACGCCTTCATCAGTTAATGTAATCGCCGACACATGATGGATTGCTCGGTTCAACATATTTCGTTCAGAGCTATAGCAAGGATTAGTTATACCATCAGCATGCTAACCATCAGAAAGCAGTGCTGTCCAGGCAAACAGATTCACTGAATCACAAGCACAGCATTGGCTGGGAAATTAGAAATAGAGGCTCGTAATTGGCTGCTGCTGGGAGAGAGGATGTGTTTGCTCTCGAAAAAGTGATTGGACTGTTGGTTCCCCATTTTCACATGCGCTATGTGCTGATCCCCCTCATCTCAACGACAAAAATCTGGCGAAATTCGATAAGTAGTCGCTAACATGGTTGGTATCCAGGCTGCGAAAGATTAAGCTATACCGAGGAAGAAAATTAGTGGGAGGGGCCATATCAACAAGATCTCTACAAGCAACTAATAGTTTTGATTACAATGTTAAAACCGAGCCCTGAGCAGGAAATGGAAAAGGAAAGCGCTAATCATAGCGACCAGGTTTCTACACGGCAGCAATATTCCTACATCTCTGGGTTACAAAGGGAACCACTTGGGCTGTCCTCCAGTACCTGCAACTACCCGCTTTAAGGAGTACACATCGTAGCGGGGATCTCATAGTTGAGGGGTTGTGCAGCGAAGGAATTTAGAAATTCACCCTTGATCAATCCCCTTTTTGGGGTGCGGCATTCATGCTACTTCCAATCAAAATCGTGGTGGCTTATCAAATTACTGAATGCGATGTGGCCTATACAGGGACACGAGGGTGAGCCGATGTAGAAGTCAGTGATCTTATCCTCTCAGACGACCCGGATACCAGTTTACCGTCTCCAAAGGGTAGAAGACTTGCTCAGGCTGAAGCGGGAGCCGACCTTGGATTCGAGCCCAAGGGCCGCGTGCTAAGCGTGCCACTTGTCACTACAATACCTCCGTCTTTTAAGGTATTGAGGGCCAGAATTGATTGACTTTGCTGCAGGGTGCACATCAATTCCCATGCACGGTGAAGGACAAATTCGAGGGACTGAGTTCGAAGGAGGGTCATAGTAGGAGCAACGAATGACGGGTCGCGGATGAATGCTTTTCCTCATCGCAACGACGTGCCCAGTCAAGGCGGAGAGAGAACATCCAGATTGTTCCATCAATCGCTCCTCTCCTGAGCAAGGTTTCAGATGGGCGAACGAATACAAGAAAAAAAAGAAGGCGTCAACGAGGGCTGAATAGGCGTTAGAGCTGTTGTTCAGGAATTTATTATGCATTATGCGACGAACTAAATGAGTTTTTGCTGCTCAGAAAATGCCGAAATCCCTTTAGCAAGAACTGCTGAAGGCAAATACAACCGAATTTCGAAGTTTTCGAGATAACCAACCTCCAACGGTGAGGTTCACTTTGTTGGGATCTGTCTCATCCATGTACATTTTGTTCATGAAGAACACCTCAATAGGTGGGGCAACCGCAACTCCCTCGAAGAACGACATTTTCTTCGGCGTCGGCTGAAACACGCTTACATTTTCAATCAGAAAAAATAGTTTCTACTGAAATCAGTGACACGTTACAACGACAAAACGAATTAAATAATGAATACAAGTTATGCCAGCCAGAGAAAAGTCTAACAATACATAAATCGTGTTTCTTCGCAAAAATTCCAGCTTCTCTTCCCGTGAAACTCGGAACTGTTGCTGCTTTGCTTTTGAGCCAGAGAAATAGTAAGGAGTATGTTTTATCGATGGTGGGACGTTCTTGTGGTAAAATACTGGTCTTCCGATGCGAACACTTCAAGAGACCGTTGTGCTGAATGTGCGCATGATGGCAGAATCGAGTTAACACGTATAACAGCGCTGCCATTTACTTAGCTGTAGAAGGGCTTAGTCAGAATCTTCCCCGAACCAAGCGAGAAATGCGAGAAGACCCATTTCCTCTCAGATAGGATCTTTTGTGTCACTGTGCTTATGAGTCTAATGAAAGTTTTGAGGACAATAGAACAGCACAGTCACGAAGAATTCCCATTTCCTGAAAACACGCTCCGGCTCATTCGTAATGCCAAAGCGTGTTCCAGCTAGATGAAGCTCCTCATTCACCTGCTGAGTCGTTGAAAAACAGGACAGCTCCACAGGGCACGCCATTGT